GAGAAGATCCTGCAGGCCTGATTCTAGTCTCATTTATTATAAAGTAGAAGTAGCTCTACTTAAGAGCAATGGCCCATTGGCTTTTATGTCTAGTTTTAATTTCAGTGGAGGTGATCTTGATTATATAAAGGATGTGTGTGGGTTTGCTTCTGATGCTTGCTTCTGAACTGGCATTGCTTGACCTCTCAATAGCTTTTGACACTTAATAAGGAGTACTTTGAATACCACCATGTGCTGTGCATAATAATCATTTAGACCACTCTGTCCTGTTTGCAAAAGCCTTGTTATGAGAGTGCTTCAGAGGCTCTGTTGGCAAGGATCCAAACAGCCTTATGCCAGGGCAGAGAGTATTTCTAATTGTGGGGGGAATTTGCTTTGATTTTGCTTTCCAACAGGTACAGACTGTGTTGGATCCTACTTCAGGGATCTCCTAAACCTCAGAGCAGCTTTCAAGGGTGTATGAAGGATTGCATCAAGAAAGGGAGCTGGAGGAAGTCCAGGGCATGAGCAGCCATTCTGAAATTTTCCATTGTAAAAGAGTGCGATCAAGTTTCCCCATTTTTCTGGAGCAACATTCCCTTTATTGCTAATGTGAAACTGGCCTTAATTAAATTGCTACCTTTATAATTATGCAAGTATACTGGAGGAATGGGAAGTGTAGGGAAAGGGCTAAAAACATAACTGCCCCTACCCTGGAGTCTGGTCTAGTCAATTTCACTATCTCAAAGGTCCCCATAATAGCCACACACAGCTGTGGCAGAAATACGACTGGAGACTTGTTTTGGCTTTAGCAGCCTGTGGCTGGAGGTGTTAAAAAACCCTGTAAGAAGACATGGGAGACACCACAAAAAAGGAAAATAAAAGCTATATAAAAAGAGAGGAAAACCCTACATGGAGCTCAATAATGTAATATTAGTTCGGTATGTAGTGTTTTGGCTATAGTCTTCCCAGGGCAATATATGAATATATCAGTCTTGCATCCACTTGTTCCAATGAGATACATACAACAGGAAAGAACTCACTAAAGGCACAATCCTGTGCATGTTTAGACAGCGATATATCCCTACTTCTTTAGTATACTGGGAGAAGTTGTTCTTTTCTTCTTAACAGGATTGCAGTTAAACTCTGGTGTTTTATTGGAATAAGCCAATGAAAGAAAGTGTTTGTTGTCATATTATCAAAATCAAGATTGTATGTTTAAATGCATTAAGGAGTTCACATATCTTGCCAAAAACCTTTAAAACTGGGTTGAAAATCAAGCAGAGGGGATCACACGAAAAATGAACTTTTCTACCACTTGCAAAGCCTGTTACAGTCTGCACAGGGCCAAAAGTTATGTGATAAAAGCTGCTAGCAATGCTGTCTCACAGTCCTTATTGAACAAAGACAAGTCCATCCGTGCTAATGTGACAGAAATGAGCTGTTTTAGAAAAACTGAGGAAAGCAGGCAATCCTCAGATGGACAGTTTCAAAGATATCCTTTTGCTATCATGGATTCACCTGCGGGTTGTAATTTGCCCCTCCCCATCCTGTGAAATGATTAGGCTCCCATTTCGCACACAACTCTTCTTGGCTGCATGAACTAATTCCTGGTAGAGGACTATAGCCTAGTGGGCAAGTTCCAACCTTGTCAAAAAATGTTGGCTTTATGTTGATCCCATGGTAGTTTTAGTTTCAGTCCTTGAGAGAGCAATTGATGTGCAAGCCACCCAGTAAACAGGTTTGGAATTTAAATCTTAACACTGACCTTTGTGCAATGACTATTTTGTTATATGAGCACATTTAATAAGCATGCATTCCATTTTTAAACAGGCTGTGTCTACTCACAGGAACTCTGCTTTTCCTTTTTGCTGTTGTAGATGCTTTTCTCCCTGTCCTTTGAATTTGGTTTTCCACTTTCTTTAAAATGTTTACTGTTATCATTCTTCCAAAATAGTGCATTGCTTAGAAAACAGACATGCACATACACATTCCATGTATAAGGGACAATATTATTATAACCATTACCTGGAATACACATTTCAGAGTTTCTTTTAAAATTATTTAAATACCTCCTTCCATTAAAATAAACACCCTTAATTGGGGCTTCCTTTTGGAGTAAGAATAAAGTAGGTATGATGATTCTCCTCCCACCTGTTTGATACATGAAAACATGTATCAAAAGCCTGCTATGAAACTGTGGTGACAGTTTCCCATTTCAGAAAACAGGGCATGGTTATGTTATGCTAGATGTTATTTTCCCCTTGATTAAAAGAAACTATATATAGAATAGTGGCTTGCATGTTATGCTGTTGTCAGTTCAGATGGCACAACTTTAGTAAACATGCCTCTTTAATAAAATTTCCCCTTTAACACCAGTTTTAGGAAAAGGGCACAGTGCCTTCAGAAGTGGTATCTTTGGGCTCACAGATTCTACAATATGAGTGAAAAACCTTGCCTTTCTCTGCTGTCAGAAAATAGGATCATGGTACTCAAATCAGGACAATGGCTCCATTTTGTTGTACTGCTCAGTTTTGTACTGACACCTTCTTGAACTGATCAGTTTTTAGTGATACCAACTCAATTATTCTTAACAACATCTGTGAGCTCAGATTCAGAGAGGTTTCAAATATTGCCTTTTCTGTTTTCGGCAAGACACACAATGAAATCTGTGTGTCTAATATATCTATAGGTCAAAGCAAGTCACACTCATTTTTTTAATCTGTAAAATGGGAACATTAACAATCTGTCTCTCGTGGTACATCAGTAGCCCCCTGAAAATAAGAAGGCTTTCATAAGAAAACAGCACATTGTAGCATTAGAGCCTTAGACCTTTAGCTCAAGAACAGTCATGATAGTCATCAAGAGTTTTCCTTGGGTAAGGTTTATGCTCAGAACCATGACTTCATTGAAATCAGTGGCTAAGCTCTCATTTTCAATCTAAGGCCAAGGTTTCATTTTTCATCTAGCTGTTTTTTTTTTTTTTTTTTGGTTGGTATACAGTTGTCATTATAAAGGCAGAGCAAATAGGACATAATGATGTCAAAAAGGTACACACAAATTACAGAGCAATGTCTTTAAGAAGCTAGTTAACACTTAGTCTCAATCAATGAGAATATCTACCAATGAAACAATACAAATACATGAAGGAGGTTAATGAAAATAGGATGGAGGTCATTGAAAAGAGTTAAGCAGAGTGCCACATAATTAAGTTAAATTATACATAGAAACAGAATAACTTGGACAGCCATGAAGAACAAATATGTTCTTTGAGAATTAATGACCAGACATTGTTTTTGGTATTTTAAAGAAATGACATTTAACTCCAGGATCGAAATTCGTAAGAGGAATACCTGGAAGCACTTAAAAAAGCAAAAGAATATAAAAACAAGTTAAATGACATTTTTCCTGTGCTTGTTATTTGGTCCTAAGAATTAAATATAGGGAGACAATGAGCTTTTCTACAGAAGGCTGTTAACTGCTGTTTCTACATTCAGTTTTGTCAAAGAATTGAGATCTAATGCTTCCTTTCTTGGTTCTTCAGTACATAACTTCTAGGTGGAGATGTGCTATAACAGAATAGATCAAATATACACATAAGGAGATGCCCTATCTTTCATCATTAAAAATAATATCTTATTTTTCCAGTCTAGCCTCCCGACCCCCAGAAAATGCTCTTCAAAAAAAGGAAGCAAAATGTGAGCATCACAATATTGCCTAATGAACTGTAAGCAGGGAATCAATGCTTCCTGCAGAAAAGCTCATTCTTTCTTGCAATCCTTGATAGAAGTAAAACCCAAAAAGCTGAAGTTTCACTAAAAGCTGCTTTGTAGCAAAAGAAAGAAAGAAGTTCAGAGAGAAACAAGCTCATGTGAATATTGGATTCTGACTTTGTTTATCAAGCTGCTGTTCTTGTCTGTGGATTCCCAGAAGGGTAATCACATTGAAATTAAGGAATATCTACAACTGAGGTGCCCATTTGTGAGAAATGGTGGGCAAATTATGTGGTGCTCCTAAAGAGAATTTAGAAGCAAATACAAGGTAACAAAAACTGTCTTCTACAAATAATAAGATTTAAAAAGTAGTGCATACAGTGATCATAATTGCAATATGACATGTTGAACTTTTAATATAAAATAATCAGTTTTCATGGCCATTTGGCACATTTTATTGCCACAGAAAAATAATTATACAATATAATAGTGTCTTTGTTTTGAGTTCTAATGTCAAAATTTCAATTTCTGGTCATTAAATCTTGCACAGTGTTAAGATATTTTCATTCAAAGCTTGCAAGTGCATCCGTTAAATCTATGCAAATAAAAATAATGGAGCTATGGTTTTACTTCACAAATAAAAGGAGAAACACCTCATATATTTAAACAACCAGCTTATACTTTATGGGCTTTTAAACAGAAAGCAAGATAGGTGAGATGCTTTAAGAAGTAGTTGCAATTTTGCAACATAAGTCTGTATAAATCCTCCAGGCAGACGACTGTGCAGGAAGTACCTGTGTCCCAGGAAACGTTTTCCACAAATCCTTGACCACTGGTGATCTCCCCACAAATCCAAATTATTTACAAATGTATGCATTTTTCAGGCTCACAGCACCTTGTTTCACACTTACAAACACATGCATCAACATTTCATCCTTTCATGTGCAAATTCCAAAATTCAAGGAAGAAAAAGGTTTTTGTTTTGTTTTTTTAGAAAAATGTATCTACAATCATACGTGAAAGACTGAAAATGTCAAACATTGCAGAAGATGAGCTCTGAAAAGAGCTCTTTATTTTACTCACTGTTCTTGTATTATTTCTTTTCCTGAATTTTTCTCTCTTTTGTGTTTTGTTACAAAAAAAGCAGTTTTCCACTTTGAAATTAAACAGTACTTAAACTAAACAATTCTTCATGCCATGCAAAAATAACATTTTATATACTTTGAGGCTTCCCATCTTTTAGTTCATAGGCATTGCTAATGGCTGTTTTAAGAAATGTTTTTTTGTCATTATTGCTCTCTTAACTAGTCACATGCTGGTTTCCCGGGTGGGACAAAAACCAGGTTCTCCAGGATTCGTATGAATTTCTGGGGAAAACAAATGGTTTTCCATTTTGTTACTTTCTTGTCTATTGTCCCCTTTTACTTCCCTCCCACCATGGTAAATGTCTTGAGTACAGTTCTGACCCAAGCTTTTGGGGGAAGAAGAACTGACAATGGGCTCTTCTGTTAAATGGTTCCCATCTTTGTGTTTATCCCCAAAGCAATTTGCCTTGATGTCCTGCTGCTTGTCATGTCTTATGCCAGGGCTCTCCATGAAGTCTTCTTCTTCTCCAGTGTCTATTTCTGTAAAGCTTCTCCTCTCTTTTGAAGGAAAAGTAAAAAGCTTTTGCTTTGGAAACAGAGGGGACGATTTCTTAGAAATTCCCTGACAAACCACCGGCGAATCAGCGCCTAGCAAGGGCCGTTCCCCTTGTGGCGAATTCTCTTCTAAGAGAATGGTGCTGATATGCTGAGGGGTTGACTTCATGAAGTCTGCTGCTGCCATTACTGGCAATGGTCTTGCAGTGCTTGGTGGTGTCTGTGGAGCATTGTCTCTGTTCTCCTTAAAATTAACCTTAAGGGACCTTGATTTTAATGGATTGCTTCCTTTTAGAGAACTTTTAGGACTCTCCATAGCACTGTCGAAGTGGAAATGGCCATGCAGCAGAGACTGGGAGCCTGTGTTTTCAGTGCTCATTGTTGTTGGGCAGTAGTCAAAAGTGATGTCTCTGGGGGAAAACATTTTATCTCTTGCAAGTGATAACAACTGAGAACTCTTTGCTCTTTGGTCTTCTAAATGGACAGACTCTGCTGGATACCTTAGTTGTACATGAGAAGTGGTGTACGGAGGAAGAGGGGACCGGTCTGTCTCAGTGAAATCAGTTGCACAGCTGGCAAAGCTGTCCATGCTGGAAGTGCTTCTCATGTCAGTCACTACATCCTTGGGTCCTGACACTGGAGGTTCTCTCTGTCCAGTTACCTCTTCCATTTCTATTTCCTCCTCATACAGGGGAGGTTTTGCTGATAGTTCTTGGTAGGTGGCATTCAGATTAGGCTGAGACTGAGTTTTAGTAATTTCGTTATATAACATTTCAAGTTTCTGAGCACTCAAGTGCTGGGGGCTGGATGCTGCTGCTGCATTGTTCAGTAGTTCATGAGAATCTTGCTGGCTCACCTCATGGTATTTGTTCTCCAAGGACTTATTAGAACTTGTTTCAGACATTGTCCTTCTGGCCCATTTCCAACGGCTTGGAGATAAGTGGTTATCATCGGGAGTTTCTTTTGAATTGGCTGCTTCCTCAGTCTTACTGGAATCTACGGCTACATCAATCAGCTCCATACTGCGAGCAAAGGCATCTTTGAGATTCATTGAGACAATGCTTCCATTTCTTTTTGCTCGCTCAAGTGCCTCCCTTCTTTTAATGGCTTTCTCCTGCCGTTTTTGCTCCTTATAAAACTCCGAGAAATTGTTTACTATAATGGGAATGGGTAGTGCTATTACTAGCACTCCTGCAATACAACACAATCCTCCAACTATTTTGCCCAGTAACGTTTTGGGATAAATGTCACCATAACCTACTGTAGTCATAGTGATGGTAGCCCACCAAAATGATGCAGGGATACTAGTAAACTTCGTGGCATCTTCATCTTTCTCAGCAAAAAACACAAGACTGGAAAATATCATAATTCCCATTGCTAAAAATAAGATCAATAAACCCAGTTCATTGTAACTCCTCCTGAGGGTAAATCCTAATGACTGTAGTCCTGTTGAATGTCTAGCAAGTTTCAGGATCCTGAGTATCCTCATGATACGGAATATCTGCACTACCCGGCGGACATTTTGGAATTGGAGCACACTTTTGTTGGACTCAGTGAGAAAAATGGTGACATAATAGGGCAAAATGGCCAGTAAGTCAATCACATTTAAGGGGCCTTTGAAGAACTTCCACTTGTTTGGAGATGACAGGAAACGCAAAAGATACTCCATAGTGAACCAAGCTATACACACAGCTTCGACATGTGCTAACTGTGGGTTGTCATTTAGCTGTCCAAATTCATCAATTACTTGAAGCTCAGGTAGAGTGTTGAGTGATAAAGCAATGGTGGATAGTACAATGAACAAAATGGATACAATGGCCAAAATCTGTAAAACAAAAATAAGCAAAATTATGGTTAGGAAGTCATAAAGGTTGCTTGAAATTCAATCAGCAAAAATAGTACAAGTCGTCATATTCAGCTCAATGCAATTAGGAAGGGTCCACTACTTTGCTTCTATTTATTCTCCCAAGTGCTAACACAAGATGTTTAACTTAGGCTGCAATCCTCTGTAAGCATATTTGAGAGTAAGTTCCACCAAACACAGCTGGAATTATGGCAAATGTATATGGTGGTGCTGTTACCAGCCATATAGCTTGTTTAAATATTAAAGGCATTTAGAAAGAAAATTTTAGTGGTTGTTCTGCATTTAAGAATTCACTTCTCAGAAGGTTTATTAGTGTACTCAGGATATACAGCAAAATGCCTTTCTGTTGGACTAGGATTTTAGTACTAATGTTAAAAGTATGAATGACTGGATATTTGTATGCATTTTGATAGCATTGTTAACACACATAGTTAGGTTGCATCCATAGTCACAGGGTTCCTTTTCTTTCACTTTGGCTTACAGGATGTTACCAAATGGGACATATCTCCAAATAAATGAAGTTCATTTCAGGAATCCAAACAACAGCCAGAACTATTAGCAGATCAGGCTATATGTTTAGCAAAGCAAGAACAACAAAACATGTAATGGTGATGATGAAATGCTATGTGCCACAGAATCAGTTGACATGTTTTTATCCTACAGGGAATCCTAATATGGCAACTCACAGAAGATTGAAAGAAGGTGTCAACTAGGAGATGGTAAGATGGCACCACACTAGAAACCCAATGACATCAAGAAGTGGGGCCCTGCCTCCTCACGTTATCTTCTTGTGGCAGGGGTTTGAGGAATCTGGTCCCTGGTCCCTTAGTCATTCCCTGGCTCTGCTTTAAAGTTGCAATTCTAGTCACAGTGCATAATAATCCATGAGAAAAGGCCTATGCAGGCCTTCACCTGCTCATGAGTGGGGCGAAAGTAGGGAAGAACATGGGCGTGCAAAGCCACCAAAGTTCATCTGAACGTGTTTATAGAGCAGTTTTCAAACTTTGTGCTTAGCATACAAAGGTCTCGTGACAGCAGGGTGTGCAGGGTCATTGAGGAAGGGGCTTACATGTATGTTCAAATCCTGTTTCCTATTTTTGGCCTACATATGAATGGGCATATGCCTGCACAGTGCTACAGATGTTCTGATAAATGTCCATCATCTGACATTAACTAGTATTTAGTATGGTAACGGTGTACTTTTGATTGGAATATCTCCAATTTTCAACTGGTGTTAAAAGCTGACTTTGTTCTTCTTCATCTCATCTATCACTCTAACAGAACATTTGAACATCATTATATATAATAGGAACAGAAAAATGAAAGTAGAAAAGATGTAGTATTATAGACATTTTGTCCATTCCTTTCATCCTTATGCAAGCATCTTCTGTATGCAATTTAAGTCACAACAGTTAAACCACAGCTATTGTATTAAGCTGTGAAAAGAACAAATGAGGTTTAAATATGATACAGATCAAACTGTGTATGTTGACAGTTTTCCTGAATAAGGGGATTCTTTCTGATTAATTTCTCTTGTGGCAACCAGGTTTTTAAACTCCCTCCCTAGAGAGATTTAGTTGAACTGTTTGGTTTTAAGCTTTCAGTGCTGCTAAGTCCTTTTTATTTCACTGAGCTTTTCTTTTGAGTTTAAATTTTGTCTTCCTGTTTTTATAATGATTTTTTTAAAAATTCACCATTGGTTTTAGGTATGAAATTCAATTTAGTAACCTCAGCTCTTTTTATCAGAACTTGATCTATTTTTATTGTAACTTGAACTATTTTATTGTGTTTCATATGTTTTGGGTTGCATCCAGATCCTGCTTGTTCAAGTGGGCTGGTTGAAGATTCTACTCAATGAGAAGTTTCGGCTGAATGGGGTTGACTGTGGTGTGGAGAGAAGTGGGGGACCGGGTGCAGCGGGGGACACCTCTGACAGCGTGGAGACGCATTCCATCTTCAATGGGCAGATCTTGGATCCAACCTGTATCAGGGATTTCTTTTGTAAAACTCCTTGTATTTCTTCTATGAAGAAAAAAAATGGATATCTATTTTTAAATTAAAAGTAATCAATGAATGTAAACAGGTGCTGGCTTTCATTGTTGATGTAATTTTCCTTTTGTTACATGTCTCTAGGCATTACCTGTACGGTGGGCATTACAGCTCTGTATATGGTGTCATCACTATATCGTGTCTCTGTCGCTCCCCATCGGGGTAGCAATGAGAACCATGGAAGTCCCATGTGCAGTGAACTTGACTTCCCTGCACATGGGACTTCTGTAAGTGGGAAAGCCTCTACACAGCAAAGCCTGAATGTTCTTCTAGGCAAAGCTCTGGCTTGATTTAGGACCCACTTGTTTGACTTTCTGTTGCTTCGGGGTATTCACAAAGCTCTCCTCCAGCACCATGTTTTGAACACATAAGTTTTCTTCCTGTAAGCTTTCTTCACTGTGGCTGGGAATACAAGAGTTCGCATGATCCTGACTGTGGTCTCCAGTGAAACATCCTTACATTTGATTATCTTTTCTAGTGCCTTATTTGCTGTCCTTCCAAGTCTCAGTCTTCTAATTTTTTAGCTGTGGTTTCCCTTTGAATTGATGGCTGAGTTATGTGAAATTACAGTGTCAGGCTCTTCATTAGTGATAGAAAAGTTCTGTAATTTTCTAAATATTCAGCTGCAGTCCTGATTTCTTACTTCCTGCTTTACCTTTTACCAGGAGTCATTTTCAGTCATTGCTGCTTTCTGCCAGTAGTATGGTATCATCTACTGGCAGAAAGGGGGCTTTCTACTTTGAGTCTCACTTTTGAAATTAAAAGCTGAGGGTCATTCTCACAGTCTGCTCCTGGTCTTATTTTTGCAGCAAGAATTTATTTTTTAAGGTCAAGAACTTAGGAAGAGCAGACAAGCTCTGGATAGAAGTGGGGACCAGCTCTGAACCCGGGTCTGGAACCCCAGCATGTGGATGCCTGGTACCCTTCCTGCTCACAGATAGGACAGCTGTCAAGGTCCTACTGTGTAGGAGAGGCACCCCTCCCCCACCAGCTTCACTTTTGGTTTCACAGGAAGTTCTTTGTCTCTTTGGACACATAGAGTAAGGTTAGGTTGCAATAAGGATATTTGTTGTCCAGACAACATTGGGTTAAAAGCTTGTGCTTGCTCTATATTTTCTGCTGAATAAACTTTCCTTTCTAGGTGTTGTGCTTGTTCATGTGTGTGTGAATGCAAAACCAAGGCTCACTGACAGCATCTGTTAAATCTCAGCAAAATATGTGAATTCTTTTGAGGCAATTTGGCAGGCATCTACCTGCATTGAGGTGCATTGCTTCCTAAGACTACCCAGTGCAGCAGGATGTGGTCCTGCCCACCTGTTCTTTTATGGCCTAGGAGGCTGGATGATGGGACACTGAAAAGTAGTTTTGCAGAAGAGAACTGCTTTTTGCAGAATTCTTTCTTTTACAGAACCTTAAACAAAAACAAAACCCAGTTCTCTTTTCCCTTGGGTTTAAATGGGCACATTGGGATGGAGCCAATGCTAGCTATTCACCAGCAGTGGAATGGATTTTCCTTATTCCTTGCACCTTCCTGTGTAGCCCACTCCCCAATTTGCTACAGGAGTTAAAGGTGTTTTTGAAGCATATTCGACAGGCATGTGGGGCCCTGTAGGGGGAGAGCAAGAAGCAGCCCCTGTGCACAAGCAGAGGTTGGCCACGTGCTGTTGGGTTGTACCCAGTCCCTCCTTGTGAGGAAACCAGAGCTGCATGTGTGAAGTGGGGTCAGCCTAAGACCCACTGGAGCCCCCTTCCTCCCCATTTCCCCTTGTTATGGGTACACAGGGACTACAGTGTACTGACCATCACCTGGAACAGTATGTGCTTCTATATGCAGCTGAGAGCCACTCAGAGCTGAGCACAGAAGTGATGTATGTGTATCCTTTATTTACATAATTAGCTTACCAGCCATGCCCTCACCTCCTCTGTAACTATGACAAATGGCTGGTCTACCCCCTTGCATATGCAAGAGCTATGCACACTGCAATTGCCTGAGTCTGATTTAGAAGTTAAAGGCCACCACTGATTTTTAAGTAAAGGTTTTGATGCTGCTTTTGGTTAGCTTATTGACACATTTTCAGGTAAGCAATAAAATGCGTAGTATCAACTCACTATTTCATCTACCATTGTCAGTAGGGCTCTGAATATTATAAGGTATTCATAATCAATACTGGATGAAATATTAAGTCAGCTGAGGTAATTTTTATTTTGTTGGAAGAATGGGAAGCCATCCAGACATAAAATCAATACACTTGTGATCAGTGGAAAATGAACAGTAAGTACTGAATGTCTGAGATGAGCTAGCTCTTTTGAGCAACAGGGAACCAAGTTGAAGCCTGGTAATTTTAGAATATGTCTCTCCACTGACTTCAGCTAGGACTTGATGCTAAATACCACATTAGTAGTAGAAAATTAGCAAAGTAGAAGTTTAGAAATATCACATGAATAATTGAAAGATGTGACTCAGTTCAGGATGGAATATAAGAACAAACACAAAGTGCATTTCTACTTGATGCAACTACAAGTAGATGTCTTTTCATTTTTAAAAGAATATTTGATTTGTTCAAAGAATTCAGTTTCATGCAGTCCTGCACATCTATATACAAACCAACCATACACTGCCATAATTCAGCATAAAATAGTGCCAAGATTAACTTTTAGTTAACAGTCTGCTACCTAGGAATGATGAAATCTCAAGTAGTCCTAATCATTGTGCTTAATATATTTTAGAGAGAGTGAAGGATAACTAACAGTTCAAGCCTTAGAGAGGCATAATAACATAAGATTCAAACCAAGGCTGAATTTCTCCCAAATGAATAATTATCATCATCAAAATTACATTTTGAAGGTACAATAGTGACAAAACTCCAGCATTATTTTCCCAAGTTCTACTTCGCAGATTCTACTACTATGGC